CACTAGTAGATTCATCTAGAACGAGCCACAGATTCATCCTTCATTTGGACTTTTACAGATATTTGAGCGCGGATTCAACTACATCTGCAACTTGAGGAGGGAGCCGATGCGCGTTCACACTTCGCGATCTCATCGCGTGATCCAAGCGATCGGGTCGCGAAGTGCCCGTGGAATGAAAGATCCTAGGGGCTTCATCCTCTTACGCAAGCTTGAAACTTATTAACTGACCCCTGAGATATGAAATGCTTGACTAGCCTGTTTAGATATTCTTCGTAGGCATTCGTGATTCGTTTTAAATACGCAATCCGCGCTGACTGTGTGGGTGGAGTCAGTCAATCACTGCGCGTGCCTAATTGGTGCGTTCCTCCTCGTGGCACGACAAAGACAAGCAATGCTTCAATGAGGGAAGCCCGGTGGTCAACTCTTTCCGCCCACACTGACAGCATAGATCATGTCTTTAATCCCAGTCACAATACCCTAACTCTCTGTAAACTGAATTCCTGAGATGAGAAGCTAGCCGGATGCTGGGAAAAAGCTGTCCCCGTAGAATTGAGTGTTTCTTCTGGAATCCCTGGAAGCGTTTCTGAAAGAGTATGCACCTGTCTATCCAATTATTTAATTATTTATTCATTGGTGTCTTATTTATTTATTCAGCAGGAGAAGCTGCAACGGTGCGTCCAAGAGGAGTTGCTGAAGCAACTAACCTCATTGTCAGCGCTATATGACCGTCTTTAGGTCGCACTCTTCAGAACCCTAGGATTGAGCGTATCCTAAGCGTTTTTTTTCCGCAGGCAGACATTCTTCTTTGAGAGACTGCCACTTCTTGCAGCCTAACTTTTCCGCTACTTTTTCAGTTCGTTTTCATGTGAGTTTGGCCTTGAAAAGCGTGAAAAACACGGCATTCTGCGGGATATTAATTGCACACCGCTGCAGACCGATCTGTCTATCTTTGCAGTAAACTTTTGTTTCGCGGATAACTTGGTCTTTCGCCACTCTTGACTTTACACTGGCGTTCGGTAAACTGGAAAACACCACCTTTACCAGGGATGATAAAGATACTTGATTGTTGCTTGAGACGTCTACTACTGCTCGTAGTTGAATTGGAACAGATTTAATAATGAGGAATAATGAAAAAAATGATATTTCGGGTCGTAAAGAGATTCATTCGAGTACTTTCCTCACTGTTTTTGTACTGGAGTTTGGTATCTCCTACTGTGGTATCAATGTGTGATAGCTGTGAAAACGAGGGAAGGAAGAGCCGTTAAGCTAACCTAAGAGCAGCCATCAAACATGCGTTGTGGACCTTTTCTCGTGAAAAGGTTCCCCCCCCCCTCCCTTTCTTGGCCCAGGTATGCTCTTACCAACTCTCGAGAAAAGTTTGGGAATAACTCCTAACAACCGTGCGAGGGAAAGAAAGAGGTTATATAGAGCGCCTGAAACGGGAAAATCAGCAGTCAAAAATATTTTCTCATGACAACTACCATAAGCCTTCTGACAGATCCGAACCTTTTTGTATTGAGATTTGCCTCAATGGGAGCGTGAAATACGGACCTTGTGATGCAGTGCTAGTACGGTACGGTAGCAGGTGCGTGTCCGGGGTGAAGTCTCTCTGCGGTGAAACCTTTTGTACAGGTCTCAGGCCTTGTAGATGGAATGACTACATATTATTATTTTTTTCGTTCATTACTTTTGCTCCTATTTTATGCACTGCGGGAGGGGCATTTGGCACTTTCGCTAAATCTTTTGTTGGTCCACATCAATTAACAGGTCTAACACCGGTCAAACGCGTGAATTCCTGTGAAGCTACGCAGTTGTGCGACTGAGCCACCGTAGTCACGGAAATCCACAGGTTTCCACAAGGCGGCCTGTGCAAGCTTAGCGGAGAACAATTCGGTGCCCCCACTAAGCCGAGCTGTGCCCTACCTATTTCTCACAGCTGTGGCGGAGAGCAGGAGTAGAAATGAAGGGAAGGTAGGAGTTCAATGATTAGAAATCCTTTCAGATCATGCCATCATCTTCTTCGAATTCGGCCAGTTCTCTCGATCGTGTGCGTTCGATACTGAATAAAGCAGATGTCACCGAACTAAATGCGGAGCAAGGAGATGTTGCGGAAAGGTAGGCTAACAGATAAACCCCTTCTGGATCCAATTAGCTGGGCTAATTTGCCTTGAGCTGATCCTTTCCCTTCTCTACATCCATATTGACACGACTTCAGACGAAAATTCTTGTTAGGGTGTTC